GGGATGGGGCTGTGAAAGCCCTGCCTGGGCTGTGACAAGCAGGACAGACAAACCCTGACCCCCATCCACTAAAAAACTCTCTCAAGGAGACATTTGAAAGGAATGATAATAATTTGTGTCCTCTGAGTTGGATGCACTGGAGCAATACTATCAAGAGTTTCTCAGGAGCTCTAAACAACAAAACAGCCTTTTCTGGGAAATTTAGAAAAATCAGTGAAACTTTGGCAAACATTTTAATATGGCATTCAAACAACCAAAATAACTTCTCAAAGCATTAACTTGGCCCATTCAACTGCACAAAATCTAAGCCTGTTCAATTTAAAGTTAATCAATATTTGCAAGAGTACAGAAATAGAAGAAGTAGATACAGAAAAAGAGAAAAATAAGATCCAGAGAAGCACACACTCAGCTACCAGCTCCTGGATTCCAGCAATGTTCAGATGGAAATTCCAAGAGGAGGTAGGGTCAAGATGTGTGCTTGCCTTGTGGTCAGCCTTAAATACCCCTTGGTGTTCCTGGGCCCTTCCCCCAGGTGGGACTTGGGGTCATTTGGTCACTCAGGAGCTGGGCTGGGAGCTCCAGAGGTGGCTGTGGAGCATTGCCTGTGCTGTGCCAGGGACTGGCAGACACTGCTGGGCTGGGATAGAGGCTCTGGGGGGACTGGGGTTCCAGGGCAGGGCAGGGCTGGGGTTCCAGGGCAGGGCAAGGCTGGACCTACCCCTTCCTCCCCCACACATTAAATGTTTCCAGCCAACAATCTCCTCCAGTCCGTCACAACAGTCAACATAGGAGGTGAAATCCCAATATGGCCATTGGCACCTGCAGGAGAAGGACAGTTCTGTTCCATAGGAAGGAAAGCACAGAGCCCCACTGTTTGGAAGGCCGGTGAGAGCCTCATAAGTCCAAGGCCAGCCAGACTTGTCAGGAGTGGCAGATTTTGTCTGGAGGCAATCTTTGGAGATAGGGAATTTTGGAGACAATCTCAATTTTGGCCATGAGCACTTGGAGAAGCAGGACAGTTCTTTCCCAAAGGAAGTAAAGCTTGGATCCTTCCCCCGTATTTTGGAAGCAGATAAGCAGTGACCCTTACCAAACGACTGCCTGCCAGATTTGTCCTGGCAATATGTCCATGGGAACAATCCCTGGATATAAGGAAACGGAGGTCAAATCCCAATTCTGGCTATGTGTGCCTAGAGGAGAAGGAGAGTTCTTTTCCATTGGAAGGAAGGCCCCGAGCCCCAGTGCTTCAATAGCAGATGAGAAGAGACCCTCCAGGTGCCAAGCTGTCAGGTAGCCCCTGGAGGCCAAACTAGCCAGACCTGTTCCGTGTTCCCTTTGTTACTTGGGGCCCTGCAGTGTCACAATGGTCTCCGTGGTTCCTCAGGCCCCACCATGTCACTTGACTCCTCTGTTCCATGAGGCCACAATGGATCTTTGGGCCCTGGGGGTTTGCAGTGTCACAATGGTCTCCTTTGGCTCCACAGGGTCACAATGGAACACTGATGACACGAGGCCCTGCAGTGTCACAATGGACCTTTGGTTCCCTGCAGCCCTGCAGTGCCACAAAGGCCTCTTGGTTTCACGAGGCCCCACAGTGTCACAATGGTCCTCTTGGTTCTGTGGGGACCCCCGGGGTCACAATGGTCTCACTGGTGCCATGAGGCCTCACAGTGTCACAATGCTTTGCTTATTCCAGGGAGCCTCAATGTTTCCCAATGGTCTCCATGATTCCACGAGTTCCCACAGTGTCACAATGGTCCTCTTGGTTCCATGAGTCTGTGAAGTCTCTTAATGGTTTCTCCATGATACCATGAGTCCTTCCAATGTCACAATGGACCTTTGGCTCCCTGGGGCCTCTCAGTGTCACAATGGCCTCTTGGTCCCATGACACCCCAAAGAGTCATAATGCTCTCCATGGTTCCCTGAGGCCCCATGGTGTCACAATGGACCCTTGGTTTGATGGGGCCTCTCAGTGTCACAATGATCCCAACAATCCATGGTGCCCCACAGTGTCACAATGGTCCCTTGGTCTCACAGGCCCCACAGTGTCACAATGGCCCCTTGGTCTCACAGGCCCCACAGTGTCACAATGGTCCCTTGGTTCCATGATTCCTGGTCTGGTGCATTCCCCCCTCCCCTTCTCAGGCCGCCCTGCCAGATGAGAAATGCTCGCTGGCCTCGGCCTTGGCCAGCAGCCCCTGGGCTCAGCTCCTCTGGAGCTCAGCACAAACACGCTCTGCTCCAGGCACTGCTGCTGCCC